TTTATTAATCATGTCCTGCACCATGAGCACAATCTTTGCTGTTATCTGAGTAATTATTTCTGATTTCATTTTTCCCAGATCTTCTTTTGTTGCCAGTTCAGAGAGTCCAGGTGGTTGAGTATCAGATCGTTCCATCTTGTTTCCCTTTGGGGTTGCTGTAGGTGATCCAGAAGTCTGTTTTTGAGGCTTGTTTACATGTCTTCTCATTTCCATGGAGTGGGGGCGTGCTTCTGGTGCCCACATGGCTCAGCTTCTTTGCCCTAGGAGCTTGGGATGGCAGTGGGGGAGCTTCCTTCTGGGTGCCTGGACTGGCTCAGCTTCTCTCAGGAGCATACATTTTATATTGAAGATATGAGGGTTGGACAAGGCAGTGTTTAGAAAAAAACAGCAGTTGCTATGTGGTAAATCTTGTTAAGAACCATAAGACAGACAGATATGAAATGGTATAGTTGTCCTAAGTTCAGTTCCCAGGGGATGGGTAGGTCATTTACATGCTTGGAGAAGAGGCTGGAGTTGGTGTTGGAGTCAGAATTGGTATAGCAGATTCCTAATTCATGTTGCTCATTAATTGTTTCCAACAGTTGGATCTTGTCCTCCATCTGTCATATGAGGAAATTTACCTGTATTTTAGTATGTCTTGAGCACCACTTCTCAAAGTCAAGGGAATTATCAAATCAACTGTCGGAAACTCCCAAAGGTTAAAAGCTGCCCCTTAGGAGGAGATAAAGTAGAGAAGAGATGTTAACCATTAGATTAACTGGATGAAGCTGTGTAGGCCTGTGTTAAACAAACAAAACCTTATCTTGGTCTTTTTGGGCTTCTATAACAAAATAACATACACTGGGTAGCTTATAAACAACATAAATTTATTTCTCCCAGATCTGAAGTCTGGGAAATCCAAGATCCAGATGCCAGCATGGTTGAGTCCTGATGTGATCTCTCTTAGATGCAGACTGCTGACTTTTGGTGCCCCTTCCCATGACAGAGGGATGAGCAAGCTCCCTGAGACCTTTTTTTTTTAAACAAAGGGCATTAATCTTATTCAAAAGAGCTCTGTCCTCATGACCTAATTACCTCCTCAAACACCCTACTTCCTAATACTATCACAGTGGTGATTAGACTTCAAGAGATGAATATTAGAATAGGTACACAAACATTCAGACCATTGCACCAATTTTACATGTATAATCTCAAGGATAGTCATTAATTTGATACTGAAAACCATCTCATAAATAAGGGGAAGCAATATTGTTGATACTGAAGATTCATAAGGTAACTTGCCCAGCATCACATAAGTTGCAAGTTGCTGAAATGAAGCTCAAGTCTAAGTCTTTGTCAAAATTAATTAAGTTTATTGTTACATTTTAGATACAGATAATGATCACATGCATCATAGGGAATTTGTATCTGTAATGTGATATATTTTGATTTCTCTTTTTTCCCCATTCCCCTCTTTTTCCTTCAATCCCTCCTCCCATCCTTATTTACAAAAGCTTTGTTTCCATTTTTTCCTTCTTTTCTCATTTTTTTTCTTTTCCCTTTCTTCCTTTCCCCTCCTTCCTCTCTAGTTCCTCTTTCCATTTGAACATTTTCTTCCTATTTCACAATATCTATTACACATTTTGGTCCTTATTTACATGTCCAGTTTCTCACACCAGAAAGACAATGTGATATTTACATATGTGTGTCCAAGTCTTTGACTTCAAATTTAGGGATTTGTTCAGAATGCCACTGATGCTGGCATTGGCAGCCAAGTTTCTCTGTCTGCCTCACTCATACCCAACTTCAGACAGTGTGGCTGGCACTGGATCAAAGGATGGAAAAAAAAAGGGTGGACTTGAAAGGAACTTAAAGTATTTGTTGCCCAAGAGAAAACAGAAGAAAGAGGCATGAATCTTAGGGTATGGCCCTGAAGCAAAGGGTTCTGGGAGAGGTAAGAAGTCACTGGCTCCATCTGTATGCAGAAGCCCAAATTGATCCTAAGCCGCCTGTTTTTCTGGAGGGTGGAATCCAAGTGTGAATGGGGGCTAGGAGAAAAAATGAGTTCATTTTCTTTCTGGGAGAAGGTAAGAGAAGGAAGAAAGAACTATTACGGGAAAGTAGAAAAAGTCAAAGAGAGGGAGTATAAAAGTACTGATAGCAACCTGGAACAAAAACAAACCATTATAAAAAATATAATTTGCAAGTTCTTAAACTTTGGTATGAACTTACCTAGACTACTCAGGCCATTTACATTTTTTCCAGTGTTCCTAAACCTCAGGTCTCTTTCTATGTCTCTTCACTTTTTCCCTCCTCGAACATTAGCACCCATTTATCCAGGGTTCTGCTTCTCAGCTCACACTTGCCCCAAACCCTCTCCCCTCCACCTTCACAATGTCTGTTGGATGGAGACAGTCTGGGATAATGGCTGTTGTATATCCTGGCAGGTCTTTTCATAGTGCCAGTGGGATAGAGGGCATTGGAAGTTTTATCATGTGTCTCCCCTTTGAATGTAGCAGCTGGGCTGAGGTAGAGCAAGGGAAAAGGTTTTGAAGCTGGGTTTGTGAGTCACTGTGAAGTCTAAGCACCCGCCCACTTGAGGCAAACTTCACTAGCTTAGTGTGTGAGAACTGTCAGGCCAGGTCAAAGGACTGTGGCTTTCTCAGTGGCCTTGTCAGCTCACAGCAGAAGTGAACAGCCACGAGTTGAGGAAACTGTGGCTGGGCAGGCAGCAAAGTAGTTCTGCTCCCTGTCACTGTCCTGCCAATTCGTGACTGCCTGCCGAGCCCATGCACAGCTGAGAGTCTAACAGGGAGAGAGGCCAATCTGACCCCTGTGTCCTATGACAATGTTGTGGCAAGCTGTCAACCTCACACTCCTTCTGCTCCTCAAGGGATATCAGGGCCAAGGTAAGGAGCCCAGCCTGGAGTGGGTGGGAGCTGGCTTGGATTGGGGAATGTGACCGTTTGAGAGATCAGAACCCAGAACCTCTGACTGTGTTACTTACATGATGCCTGGGAACTTAGTGAGCCAGAGGTGAGATGAAGGGGAGGTAGTTTGGGTCATGTAGGTCATGTAGGCTATTGTAAAATGCATAGCTTTTTCTCTGAGTGAAATGAGAAGCTCTTTGAAGATTTCTGCAAAACTTAAGAGTGATATGTCCCATGGGGCTTCGCATCCACATTTTTGTTTGTTTGTTTTTTGAGGCAGGGTCTCCCTTTGTAGTTCAGGTTGGCCCAGAACTCACTATGCATCTGCAGTTTGTCTCCCTTGCTCCTTCACCATCTCATCATTTTGCTTAATTACCACCTTTTCAGTGACGCCCTCCCAACACTGAAAATGTCAAGAAAAGAAACACCTCATTTCTTGCACTGCTTAATTTTTCCTCCATAGCACTCTTCACTGTTTTGGATTTGATATCTTTTACTTATTTACTTTCTCTCTCTCTAGCTCCTCTTCAGCCAACAAGAATGTAATATCCTTGAGACCAAAGTTTTTGTCTGTTTTGCACACTGTTGTATTCACAGCATCTAGAACTGTATCTGGCACAAGCAGACTTTCAATAAATATTTATTTTCTCTATAATATCCTCCTTTCTATTTCAACTCCCTCCTTGGATATGTTTTGAGCAACTCTATCCCAGGTACTGTGTTAGGCATTGAGGATTCCGTGGTGGATAAGTCCATGGCCCCTTTGTTCATGGGGCCTACACTATATCATTCAAATAAAAATGAAATTACAATTACTTCACAGCACTATGCCTAAAATGGTGGGTGACCAAACATGCTATTAAGTGAATAAGTGAATTATTTTCAGGCATCTTAGAGGTACACTGGGATGACCTTCAAATCATTGCCCTCAGGAGGAGGCCTAGGCCCTAACATTCATTTTGGGTCCTAACTTTAGGGTTTGGTTGTTCATTCTGAGGAAATCCCAAAGGACAGGTGCTTTGGGCCCAGGGTGAGATCTGTTGGTCAAAAATAGAGCAGGGCTGTTAGCTGTCAGGGTTGCCAGCTGTTTAACTAGATTGTGTAAACTTTCACTTCTCAGGGAGTAGTTACCTATTATGACTGCTCTGGCTGGGGTCCCAGTTGGCTTTCAGAAGCTGAAGTCATTTTTACTCACTTCTTCCTCAGTATAACTCTTCTCAAAGAGTGTGGATGATGAAACAGCTGGGCATGGGGAGAGACGTGGCAGCACCATTCCGAAGGGAATTCAGCTGCATAGAAGTCACTCTAGGGGTAGCCAGACCACCACCTTTTTAAATGAGCCCTTTTTATTAAAGTGTGACACAAGTACAGAAAAATGCACAAAATTATAAATGTACATCTCAGTGAGCTATTGCTAAATCAACACATCCTTAGAAAATCATATCTTCCTTCCTATTTGTTACCTACTTCCTCTTCCACAAGTATTGCCACTCTGTTTTTTGAACATAATATTTATTTTTCTGTTGTTTGACATTTATGCTGATGAAAATCTTTCTCATAAATAATGTGATGAATATTCTTCTATTTGTTTCCAAAACTAGATTCTTAAATTCCTTTTCATCTTTTATAGCCCTCTTTGACTGCTAACAGCATAGGTTAGTTTTGTGTGGACATAAATGGAATCATATGTAGAGTCTGGCTTCTTTTGATCAATATCTTATGAGGTTTATGTATGTTACTACTTGTAACTGGTCATCTTCAGAGCTGTACAGTATTTTATTGGGCAACTTTACCATAGTTTGTTCATTCATTCTAGTATTGATGAACATTTGGGTTGTTTTAAAAATTGTTTGTTTTTATAATAATGCTGTTTTTATAATAATTGTTTTAATTGTTTTTATAATAATTCTTTTGTACAGGCAAGTCTGTTGGGTATATTTCCACATTCATGGAGAATGTGTATATGCCTGTAGCATATGCTCCCAAACTATTTCCCAAACTTGTTGAATCAAGCAGCACATAGGAGTTCCATGTTACCTTTGGGCCATTGCATTTTTTGCTCTGAGGGTCTGAAAAAGGGAAATGAAATTGCAGGAATGTAAAGCCTACAAGGAGGAACGCCAAAGCTGAGGGGATCACATCTCCATGGCTTTTTTGGTATTCGGCATGAAATTTCTACCATAGAGTCACTTTGGGAAGTTATTTGAGAGGAATTCCTAAATAAATTATTTAAATAGATTCATTAAGCTTTTAGTATGTTCCAAGAACTATGCAAGCTTTTATAGAGAAACAGAGATGAAGCAGATGGTGATTCTATCCATAAATATCCTTCACCTGGAGGTGGAAGTGCATGCCTGTAATCCCAACACTCTGTGAAACCGAGGCAGGATGATTGCAAGTTTGAGCCCTACTGGAGCAATTTAGCAATTCAGGGAGACTCTATCTCAAAAGAAAACAGGGCTCAGGATAGATAGTCAATCTCCATTTCCTCCTCTCCCACAAAAAAGAATCTTTCAGACAGAGGAAAATCAATGTGTACACTAACAACTATAAAGGAAGAAAGAAAATTCTGTGTCATTGACAGAAAAGATAATTTAAGAGTGAAAGGGGAGCTGAGAAATGGAGATTTCTTCTAGGGCATTGAGGAACTGGCCATGACATATAAGCATTCAGGAAGCAAGGATAAAAAAGAAGAACAGTCTAAGCAGAGGAAATAGCCTAAACAGAAGCAAGGAAGGCACAGGGTTTGAATGGGAAGCATGAAAGGCAAACATAATAGTTTTGTTGGAGAAAGATATTACTGTGTTATAGATGAGAGACTGCAGTTTATCAAGGCCCTAGATGAGAATCTTGATCCCCTCAAGGCAATACTACACAAGGCAAAAGAAAGACACAGAAATAGGATTTAAACAGAAAGCAGGGATCTAGGATCATTTGAGCTAATCTGAGCAGCAAAGACAAAGGGCACCCAAGACTTCCAGTATTTATTGATTACAAGCATGGGAAGAAATGGGGCAGGGTATATGTGAGACATCTGGTGATAGTGTGAGAGACATCTGGCAATAGCAGTTATTGCAGGCAAGGCTGTAAAGAGGGTGGCAACGCATTCTTGCAGAAGGAACAAAAGGAGACCAGGACTGGGTCATAATTAAGCAGTAACCCATCAGGTCAGTGGCAGAGGTCATAATTCAGGGAAAGGAATTTAGTTGGAGCCACACTGACATTGGCAGAGATATTATCTCAATCAGGACCCTGCAGCTTCAGAGACTAGGACTTAGGCCTCTACTACAGCCATTGGCGAGGGTGCTATGCTCTCCCAGCCTGCCATCTGACATGCGCATATGAATCATGTAGGCTTTGGTCAGATTCCTAATATAATACAGCTGAATTATGGGGAAGTAAGAAGCCTGTGCCACATATAGCCTTCTAGTAAACTGGGAAGGCGGGGGGGTCAGCTAGAGTAGTTAACTGATACAAGACACAGGACTTGTGTTAGGTCAATTTTGATAGAGGGAAAGGGTTGCTTTGCCTGAGGAGAGGAGTTAATATAAAGCTAAGTTGGGAGGAAGAGAGGAGAAGTGGCCTCTAGCTGGGGAGGACACTTTATGATTTTATGAGCTTGCCTTGGGTGAGGATGGCCCTGCCCCTGGCACTTTTGGAACTCACTGGGCTCTAGTGACTTAGTCCCTGGCAGAGACCAGGTCTGTTGCTCCTTCTCCACCCCTCCATCTCGGTACACAAGTTTAATCCAAGGAAACCTCAACATCTTTTTGTTGGTTGGTGGAAATTCAGCTCCCTCTGTGCTTTTCCCCTGCCCCCTCTCCTGAGGGCTCCAGCCTCATTCCTTCCTTTGATAAACAGGTCTAGGTTGGAGGAACCTGAGCTGACTTTGATTCCCACCAGTCGCAGCTCTGGCCAGTGGGCTCAGTGCTAGGCCAGATGAACTCCTTGACCATTCTCTGTGCTTGCTGCCCACTTCTTGCTGAGACTGCAATGGAACTCACTACCTGTCTGTCCTCTGCCCTTCTTCTGCAGAATTATTGTTTTACCTTGTCTGTTCTTAACCACCGGAAAAAGGCCCCCAAGGCTGCTGAGTAGTTGCTGTGACCCTGTGGGCTTCCCTGACCACTGGAATCTGCTGTGGCCTCTCCCTTCTAAAAACTGTCACTCAGGCAGGTCCTTTTCATCTCTCACTTTAAGCACATGAGAACTTGTGTTGAAGTTATCTTTTCACATTGGTATTTTTTATCACCTCTCTGGGACAGGGACTGAGGTCTTTTTATACCAGTACAGTACTTGCCTTTCCACTGTGTCCACCTCATGATCCTGTCCCCATCCTGTTCTGGGCCATCTTTCTTCTTCCTGTGCTGTACTGCTGAGGGCTACAGGAGAAAATTCGGCAACAAAGAGCAGATACAGACAGCCTCCAGCCTAAGGTGGGCTCCTATGGTCTGGGGATTCTTTTTTCTGGTAATGGCTTCTTCCATCCCCAAAAAGGAGACTCCAGACCTTTATCATCTCTTCAGGGACCTTTTCTATCATCACAGCCTCCAAAGGCAGCATAGCATCAGGTAGATCACACATTTGATTCTTTAAATATTGAGCAGTCTAACCAATAACCATTTTTCTGTATAATCCATATTCAATTTTGTCATAGTGGGGAAATGTAATCTTCGACATAGGCCTTTGCATTTGATCTGCTCTTGGGTTATACAATTTTTAATTATTAGACCGCATACTTAAGTATTAAGCATATTTTAATATTTGTACTACCCCTCACAGTTCTATAAAGGTAAAAATAAAACAAAACACCTTAAAATTAAGCTCATGTTCTGCTACTCCAGTTTCCAAAAGTGGGGCACAACTTTGCAACCTTCCTTATCAGACCTGTAAGATACAACAGGGACACCATTACACATGCTGCTGTACTGCCTGTCATGCACTCTTCCTTGCTCCTTCCTGCATTGATGAGGCAGGCC